CTCCCACCGCATCTCTCACTTATAGCGATCTTGGCTGTATTATCGGAAAGTGTGGCAAAGGGACCTTACGAGGATTCTCTACGGGTGGTTCATCACCCGTCTGTGACAATGACAGGTGATGATATTCTACCCCTGCAACTCCGTTCTAATGCAGCGAGGCATTGGTGAGTGCCCGATGTGCTCGATTCCCCTTAGCCAACATGACAATGCTGCTAGAGATCGATGACATGCCAATTCGATTCCTACCTCGAAATCTGACGTACTAATTGAATAATTAACAAATATTCGTGCCAATAATTGTCGCTGTATTGTTGGCAAAAAGTATCGTCGATCGGCAATCGACAGGCAATTAATTTTTTCAATTTTTTTTTTTTGAATTTTTTTCTCTTTCATTTCAAATAAAACACTCGGCAAAATATTTATAATTAGCTGAATAATCGATCGGCATTGCAAATGAGTATATTATGAGTCGAATAAACGAGTTGTACAGCTTTCTGAGTGGAGACCTTATAAATTGTTTAAACATCGAATAAAAATATATTATGCTTGTCGTCGATGTGATGCATAACAATGTTTATCATCCAAATTGCTAACAGGAAAAATCGCTGAATACTATTTAAGAAGAACGACGCTTTAGAGAGTTTAAGAGTAAATCCGAGTTACCTAAGAAGCCGAGATCTCTCCCTCATCCTGGGATTACGATGAACCAAGTGAGATCTGTATCGGTTGTTGTTAACCAGAAACGGAAGATAATGGATATATTTCAATTTAGAAATTCTAGTTCTTCGTCATTGTCTACTACGTTACACGATACTTATGCGTTGAAATCGGTTTAATTAGACTTAATTAGATGCGATTTATCACTCAACATCGAGCAGAGCCTAATTTATTTTTATCACCTCGCTACGTAATTATACAAATTACCCCCTCTCGTGAAATACCGAAAAATCTTTTGTTAAAATTAATATTATTGACGAATATTTAAATGAATATGAAATATTATTGCAAATGTAATGTCAAAGTCGTAATGGCGCGCTATTATTTAGTAAAAAAATTATTGCTCAACAATTTTAAAATCATTATTTCATTTGGATCGATGTCAGTAAAGCAAATAAGAAATGAAGGAAGTTGGATATAAAGAAGCAATGGCAGCAAAAAAGTCCATTCAATTGTACGAGGGTGAAGGAGAGTTGGGTTTACGTTTAGAGTATGTGAAAGCATTTGCAGCTCAGTCCATTGGTGTCGACTATGCATTAATCTAGGAAAACTGACACACCGATTATTGATAGATTTGGGGAGATGAACTTGCAATGACAGTGTCGTTACGTTTTTTCGTTCGACGTTTTTTTTTTCTTCTTTAAATTGAAAAATAGCAGCCGTAATATATGACGAAAAATTCTAAAGACCATTGAGACCGGCGAGATAAAAAAAATTTGTAAAGTTATTAAATGATTTACGAACGAATAGTCTAACTTTTAAAATGTATTTACTTATATTATTTTAGTTTATTGCAGCTACATAATCGATATAGAATAAAAAATTTGTGAAAACTATTTTATATAACACTTTTAATAAAAATATTCCATTTCAATCCATAATTAGTAACATTGTTGTTCTATAGTAATTCAACAATTGTAGTTTAATCGTTCATTACAATTTTCTAATATTTTAAAAATTTAATTTATCTATTTAATTTAATTTAAAAATTTAATTTTAAATTTATCTATTAAGGAAATATACATTATTTTACAATTAAATTAACGAAATGTAATAGCCGCTGCGATACGATTTTTAAAATAAAATTGATTTTCTAACGTTCACGAGGAGCCTCTAACCTAGTCAGTTTTTTTTTTCTTTTCCTCCTCAAAAGCAATGATTAGAAAAACAATTACGATTACAAAGAGTTCAAAAATTAAAACAAAATAAATTGATAATAACTGCTTGTTTAAAGGAATGAAAGCATTTGGAAAGAATCGCGTAAGAGCCTCCACGATTACAAGTATTAATGTCATTTCTCTCTTCAAGTTTCGTCTCGCAATTGTAATGTAAACTCCGAGTCTCATAATGAGCATAAAACATGCTTCGCCCCCCCCCC